AACAAAAAAGTTAATTGCCAGTTCGCCATTATTGTCTTTCTAAGAAAAAGGAAAAACACGCTAGATACTAAGAAGATACTAAGAAGTATTACACTAGGTCTTGCATGGGGAATAACATCTTGGATTGATGGAAAACAGTAAACGTTTTTCATGAGATGAAAATATTTCAGAACATGATAATTCATAATGTGTTTTATGTTCTAAATAAAGAATTTCATATCCGATTCATCAAAATTCTTCCTCGTATAAAGTTTTACAAAATCACCATTTAAAACTAGAGGTACTGTGAGCAATGAGCTCACTAAATGATACCCCCCGCCTCCCATATGAATATAATGGCAGTGTCCATGTTTTGCTCTGGAAAATCAAGAATATATGTCAGATCAAAAAGTAAAATAGGAGGTGCACAATGGCAATATGTAATTAAGAATCTGTGAAAGTTTCATTAAATTTCCTTCCGTGGTATGAGAGGAGTTGCGGATAAGAGATGGGTACCCCAAAGCGTAACAGACGGATGGACGGACGGACGGAAATACCGATTACTATATACCCTCCCACTTTTCAAGCGGAGGGTATAAAGATATGATTACTAGGTAAATAGCCTACTACAGCATAAAGTCAACTCTTAAAGTTTAATACCAAAAAAATCAATTTTGTAGAGTATATATATATGGTTTAGGTTAAAAAAATACACATGTGTAATTAGGTAAAACGTGCTTAAATAGTTGCGAACAATTGACCAGCTGGTGTAATAAATTATACAAGTACACAGAAGTAGAGAAGTGTGTTAATTATTACTTACCTGTTGATTTAATGCTCTAAGTTTCCCAAGCAACAATATTGTAAACTAGATTTATAACAGTTACCTTATTGCGTTTTACTAAAATGCTTTCAGTTTTTTTTCCTTTTTTTTTTTTTTTTTTTTTTTTTAGATATTTTTTGAAATGCCAGATGCGCAAGCCGGAGATGCATGTATATAAATTATGCAAAGCCAACAGAGCGTTAAATGTCATTTCACCTGGTTCAGTCTTCATGCTGTTAAAATCTAATGACAAAATATCTATACATGTACTTATTTTCCTGTTTCATAATATTTTAACGTGCCTTTGTACTTTTATGAATGTATATCCTCTTTCATGTTAAATTACTTTGTTTACTGCACTCCATGTTTAGACGGACAAAATGGTTTTTATCACATCTTCAAATATCACGGACATACAAATCGATTAATCTTTAAAAATGAATCCTATCAGGCCTATCGAATTTCACAAAATTCATCTTGATATCATTACATGTAATAAAAAATGGCACACCTTGTATGTTTACATGGCAAACAGGGAAGTTCGAATGTTCTCAAATCGGGGTGTGGTGTAGGAATGGATGGATTATTTCTTTTATCCGCAAAGATATTAAAAACTTTTTTTTTATTCATTAAAGGCATGCGATCTATAAACTGCCACAAAATTGCATTTTATTTACACGCTTAAGATTTTATCCAAGGCATGAAATTAATTTGTTGTCTTCGATATATGGGCTTCATTTAAATCTAAATGTCTATTTAAAAGAAGTTTTTTTTCTGTAAGATAATTATAAAAAAGAAATAATTTGTTAACATTACCTGAGCCATTGCTTTCCCTCGGTGTTTTAGTAAAACATCATCCTTAATTAGTATTCTTCTAGTTTGATTAATAATGATGAATATAGAAAATGTGCATGTACATAAGGATATTAAACAATCTGTCTTACAACTAATTAAATAATCTGTAAACGACCTTGAAAAGTCTCTGTATATATTGTCCCCTTCCTGCGGTTCAGATAATGGCAAGAGCCGATTGGAATTTAAAAAGCATGTCAACATAAAATCAGCTTTTGAATTTTGAATCCCCGTTGTTGAGTGCTTTTAACACAAGGCACGATCTGGTACAAAGAAATGTGTCATTTGCCGACTTTCTTAAAATAAAGTACATAGCAATGTTTAACATCCGGGGTTGAGAATCTAGAAATGTAGAAAAATATATATTTTTATAAATTTTAATCACCTAGTGGTAATTGCTTAAAAGGTTTTACTGTAATTTTAATCCGTAACTGCAGCAGAGCCGAATTTACAAGTGTCAAATATCACACGCATCATTTTCTAAATGTTCAAATAAAATTTCTAATTCGTTATACTTCTAATAACTCTTAGAATGACGAAAGAGGGTGGGGTATGTTTAGCATTACCCAACTATACATGTAGTTATGTGCTGAAAGAGGTTTTTCAAATGATACTTTAAGGCTTCAAACTAAATATTGAAATATGAAAACAAATAGCCTAAAATACTTTCTATTTTTCTCTTTAAATAAAAGCACCCCCCCCCCCTAAAAATAGCATCTCCCTCATTCGCCACTGTTTTGGAACAGAAATTAAATGTTCAGATCGATTGTATATTTTGTCAGTTATTAAAAACAAGTTGTTCAAGGACATTCGTCCATATACTGTTTTTTAATCAATTTTAATTTCAAAATACAAGCCATTAAATCTACAAAAGATCCATAACAGCGTGTTTATGGATATTGGACCACGCCCCTTTTCCCCACCACTGGAGCGGATCCGGAGGGGCCCCCGTAATACGCCAGGACGGACTGGATCCAGTCGAGGTAGGCGGAGACACGGGTGTACACCCCCGGCTGGTAGGCCTCGGCACAGGAGTACCCCCACGACACGATACCCACGATTTTCCAGACACCGTCTTTGATACACACCATCGGGCCTCCCGAATCCCCCTGAAAATATAAGGGATTTGAGGTCAATAAACCCCCTACTCATCCAAATCCAAATTTAATTTTTATAATAAGGAATGCTTTTAAAAGTGAAATACAAACTCTAATGTTATAACTTGCGAGGAAAAAAAAACAAAAACAAAAAAGACACTTCAGCTTGACAAACTTATTGCGCAATAATAAACATTTTATTTCATGAAGAGTTATTCATCTTATTAGAGTATCGATGAACCTTAAAGCCATCATTCACACTTGAGCAGTTCTTGTCGAATTTCATCCATCTTGATATGAAATAAAAATATCCAGCTAATTGAAATAAATTTTGAAGGATTACTTTAAAAGATGTATGAGCTATTTAATTTAAAATTTAAAATGCGGACCAGTGAGGCACAACAAATGAGCTTAGGCAAAGTATAATGATTTTAGATGGACGTTTCATGATTAAAGAGATCTCAACAAAAAAAATATTAACACTTGTCGCGTTATCTTGCCACATACATTTAAAAAATTCATTTAACTTCTACAATCCTAAATTTGCGCCTTCGCCAAATTAAAATATCCAAAACATTTTGAAATACAACACATTGAAAATCACGACACAAATCGCCTATTTCTAGATATGGAATTTTGATACATTATTAAGATTTTGATTGTGGTTTCACTGATTTAAATTTGAATTCAATGTTTTACACAGTTCTAAAGAAATAAAAGCAAATGTAATAGTTATACGCGTAAATTATTCGGAATTTCGTTCGTGCGCCGAGAGGCCTTATCGGACTTCATATAAATCGTCCTTATATTATTAACATGAAAGATATATAATTAAAAATTCACCATTTTAAAGAACATTGAATATATTATATCTATGCAAAATTTGGTAAGTATTGGTTGCATGTTTAAAAAGTTATAAACATTGTCTACGACTTTTTGGGACAACCCTCGTATTTAAGTCAAAATCTGTATACTGCATAATTACATGCATCATGTATGCTGCTAAATTTACATTTAAGGATCAGTCTTGAAAACTATTGATATGAATTTAATTTAGTGTATTCTAGCAAAGAAGGTCCAGACCGGTAGAATTACAATGTAACTCGGAGCTTTTTTCACGGCTTTTACACTCTGTATTTTTAAATTTAAATGACCGTATACCTTAACATGTATACGCTGAACCAAACTTCTAAGTGTTCACCAAACATTTTTCGAGGTTTAAAAAAACAAATGAATACAATAAATAATTTCTTTAATTAGTGATTAATGATGCATATTTAAGTTCGATGTTGCCGAAAATTCATGTAATTATCTCGTCAGAATTTAAAGCAAAGTGTGAAGGAAATGATATACCCTCAAAATGAAAATTCACCCAAAAAAACTCCCTTTGGAGTTTGACCACCACTCGCTCTAATTATACCACAAGACAATTCTTACTGTTGGATACCATGTACCCCTAAATAGGAGATTGACCCATCTGCTGCCACACTTACTGCATAGATCTGTCAAAACCGTTGAAATTGTGTGGAAGGGGGCGGGGGCTTTGACGTTCCTTATAAAAATCCCAAATGTGTTCAATGGGATTAAGATCCGGGAATTTGACAGTGCATCATCACACAGATGCCTTTTGGTCAATATCTTAAGGTGTTTAGCACGTAAGTGCACCGCTTTAAGGATGATTCAGACTTATCGCGTTCATACGATTGAAATTATTTGTTTTCATGTTTGTAAGATTATCTTAACCTGGTGTGACGCAAAATTTTGGCCTCAAACGAAGATCAAGCTAAGGTCACTTCCGGTTTGGTTAAATTTTGTCCAAAACTTTCAAATTGTGATAAGTTGGCGATGAAAAATGACGCACAGCCTATAGAAAAATGTGTTTAAATGGGTTTTGAAACTGGTTGTTAATTTTTAAAATTAATATCAAGAACAATTAAACACTAAAATAAAAGTGAGTAAAACGTAGTGCAAGGATGGTCCAGATATCAACATTCCGACCGACAGCTCTCCCTTCTATCTTAATGGTCATTTTGCCAATGTTTTGTGTTTTTTAGTGAAACCAGTTTTATAATTTGATAATGATCACAACAAGCTAATTCAGAGAATTCGTGTCCCCCGCTTAGGGAAAAAGTCGGCTCCCCCTGACTGAATTTGTAGAATTATTAAATGTATACATGTATACTGAAGGAAATAAAATACATGTATGTCAGTATTCATACAAAGATTTGATTGCTTATTCTTTATTATGTGTATAGAAGATTTTTTTATATGGAATATTTATCACACTGTAATGATGATTTTATAACCTCATAAATTTTTCATTTCACATGCTCAATACTATCATTTAGTAAAAAAAAAAAGTATTTTAAAAAAAAAAAAAAATGAAAGATTCGACCGAGATTCGATCCCGGGACCTCTCACATTTGAAGCGAGAGACATAACCACTAGACCACGGAGTCGCTTTAAACAAACAGAAGTATATGCAGAACTGAAGTCACATACATGTATATATTCATGTTTTCATGTTCGGTTTTCTCAAAATTTTACACAATCCATGGTGGTTGATTTATTTAGCCTTTATTAAACAGTTCTAATAGATGTAATAAGAACATAAAGTCCGCCGAGAACCTGTTTTATACGCAATAACTCTCCTCATGCCCCTGCGCTAAAAATAGCGCCATGTAATACTATAATTACTAATAAAACAAACGGGGCGGGGCACTTTGAGAGGGACAGACGGACGGACGGACAAACCCAAATTAATATCCCCCACTTTTCAAGCGGGGGACAAAAATTGCTAATTACACAAAATACGTGCCGCAAAGTACATATTTATTGTTTTTAAGCTTCGTTACGGAACATTGGTTTTCATCGGTGATATTTAATTTTCTTTCTACAATTGTTGAGAGGACTCATTTGTTGTAATAATTTGAAAATATACCATTATAATTAAGGTAGTTTTTTTTTTAAATAAATGCATTTATTAAAGCGAACACTTAGAAGTTTCGTTAAGTGTATATATATTTCTATTATTAATCGCTTGTGGTATGGCTTTATGTTAATAATTTCATTTTTTATTGTCCCCCGCTTGAAAAGTGGGGGATATTAATTTGGGTTTGTCCGTCCGTCCGTCCGTCTTTCTGTCTGTCTGTAACGCTTTCGTTTCCACACGATATCTCGAGAACCCTTTGAGCTTTTGCAATGAAATTTAATATAGCAACTCCCTATGGACTAAAGAAGACCCCTATTGATTTTGAGGTCAAAAGGTCAAAGGTCAAGGTCATAAATAAGCAAATTCTGTCTGTTAAAACACTTTCGTTTCCACACGATATCTCTAGAACCATTTGAGCTATTGCAATGAAATTTTATATAACAACTCCCTGTGGCCTCATGAAGACCCCTATTGATTTTGAGGTCAAAAGGTCAAAGTTCAAGGTCGTAAATTTATACATTCTGTCCGTGTGTAATACTATCATTTCCGGGCGATATTTCAAGAAGATTTTGGTCTTATGCAATGTAATTTTATACCAAAACTCCCTAGGACGTCTCTCGCCCCTCTCAAAGTGCCCCACCCCGTTCGTTTTATTAGTATTTATAGTATTACATGTCACTATTTTTAGCGCAGGGAGAGTTATTGCGTATAAAACAGGTTCTCGGCGGACTTTATGTTCTTATTACATCTATTAGAACTGTTTAATAAAGGCTAAATAGATCATACACCATGGATTGTGTAAAATTTTGAGAATACCGAACATGAAAACATGAATATATACATGTATGTGACTTCAGTTCTGCATATATACTTCACACTGTGTAAAGCGATTCCGTGGTCTGGTGGTTATGTCTCTCGCTTCAAGTGTGAGAGGTCCCGGGATCGAATCTCGGTCGATCCTTTCTTTTTTTTTTTTAATACTTTTTTTTTTTTACTAAATGATAGTATTGAGCATGTGAAATGAAAAATTTATGAGGTTATAAAATCATCATTACAGTGTGATAAATATTCCATATAAAAAAATCTTCTATACACATAATAAAGAATAAGCAATCAAATCTTTATATGCATATTGACATACATGTATTTTATTTGCTTCAGTATACATGACAGTGTATACATTTAATAATTCTACAAATTCAGTCATGGGGAGCCGACTTTTTCCCACAGCGGGGGACACGAATTCTCTGAATTAGCTTGTTTTATTTTACAGTTTTAAAAAAACTTACTTATAGCACGTTTTGACTTGTTAAATGTACATGTAACAAGAATTATTGCCCAGATGAAATTCAAGCCTGAGAAATACATGTTCACCAGATTCTGTATTTATTGGATTTCTGAACAGATTCGTGTTTCCATGTCAGTGACTGAAGGGGCTTTGGTAAGTTTTCAACATTTCATAGGAATGCTTTACATTGATACTTAAATTTCAATGACTGTGCGACAACCGGAGAAGGTTTCCAAACTTTAAAGAGAGGATTATACCTCAACCGCATCATCTCGGGTCTTTCCGTCAGAGGTCGGCTAGTAAGAAAGGCCAGAGAAGTTGCGATTAGATTGTACCTGACACGAGTCAACGCCACCATGTTTTCTCCCAGCACACACTTCCGTAGCTGGAATGGTTTTGTCCATTAGATATGAACACACTGAATTGGAGATCAGAGGAACGTTTGCTTTATAAAGGCCACGTGTGCCAAGGCCGCCTGTGAATGAGTTTCAAGAAAGCAAAATTTTAATTAATACATGTAAATCAAAAAACAATTAATTAGTATGAATGAATATTGAATAAATTTTCAAATGAAATAATGTAAATATTTTTTAAAAATTGTTTTCTTAAAATGTTCTTACATTGTAAAGATAATCCTAAATATTTCCTTTCACTGATAGAAGAATGTAATTTATATACAGTGTACATATTTTATTCGTAACTCCTTGGACTTTTAGATAAAATTGGAATAATAAGATCCAAGATACATGTATGTGATTGGCTTACCGCTATACGCAGCGCCCCAACCGGTCACGGTACAAATCATTCCATCGTAACTCTCATTGGCTGACGGGAGACAGACGGGTCTGACGTATTCTGTAAAGGCGGGAACAGGGTTCCCCAATTTTAACATAGCGATGTCGTTGAAGTACTGACTTTGGCTATAGTGGGAGTGGACGAATAGTGTGTCCACCTTCTCTAGGATTTCGTGCCCCTCCAGCACAGCCCGGTCATTTTCTCCCACTACTACCGTCCAAGCTCTTGGGTTTTTGTTCCTTTTGTGAGTAAAAATGAAAATATACTGTTATTAAATAATGTAAATTATTTTTGATTCTCTTATTCCGGATTCCTAACATTACTCAATGAAATAATCGAATTGCGATATAAATTATTGGCTAGTAAAAAATCCGAATACTACTAGTTGGTTGGTTAACATGAAATAAAGAAATATTTATTTATGACTTCTAAATAAAACATCAGTTTAGTGATATTTATGTTCCCCAAACGGAGTTTGGGAACATATTTAAGGTCTTCCGTCTTCACGGAAGACCTTATAGTGATTCTATTGTTTCTTATTATTATTATTATTAAGGTCTTCCGACTTCCTTCGGAAGACCTTATTGTTTTCCGTCGGTTTCCTATTATTATTATTCTTTTTTCATAGTTATGGCGATATCTCAGCTGTGTCTGTACGGATTTCAAGGATTTTTACAGGAAAGATGCACCAGGTTAATATCTCCAGACGTGTTTTTCATTTTTTCAAAATTTGCTTCCATTCGCGATTTTGGGGGAAATTTGTATTTTTTAAATGGATTTTTGTACACTACTTTTCTCGAAAACGGCTAAAGATATGACATTGAAACTCATGGACATGAAAGAGCATCAAATGTAAATGTGCCGAACGTCCTTCATTTTTGTCGTTCCTACTTCTGGTCGCAAACGGAAGTGAATTCAAAAAGTCTAATTTTTCAACTTTTTTGTTTTTCAATATTTTTCTTTCAGATTTACAGGGTTTATAGAGTGTCTTCAAAGATTTCTATATATGTTTTCATTTTTTTCATGCGTGCGTTTATTACAAAGATATGACCGAACCAAACTTTGTCTTACTGTCGGGGTTCGAATCCCGCTTGGGGCGTTCCCCAAATTTTTTCTTTGTTTTTGTCTTTTTTCAGTTGCAAATTACTTTTCATTCTTTTATAACATGTGTGGAAGATTTTGTCGATTTTTAAAAGCTTTATTTAGAGATATTTGGTGAAATACCTGGAACAATCACGATCTGTGTTGAGAAACTATTGTAAATGAACGTAAACGAAAAAATACAATTTGTAATCTATTCCATGGGATGACACGGCATCGATTACAAAAGACAAGTCGGTCGGAAGACCTGCTTGTTGCCCCAGCAACAAGAACGCATCTAGTTATTAAGGTCTTCCGTCTCCAACGGAAGACCTTCTTGTTATTCTTCGGTTTCTTTTTCCCTATTATTATTATTATTATTATTATTATTATTATTATTACTCTTACCGATTTTGTGCACGCGATTTCTCGTAAACTACTGGACCGATTCTCATGAAACTTTAAGATCTGATAGGTACTGATCTGAACCTTATTGGAAATTTTTTTCGTTGATGACGTCACTTCCGGTCGTGAGATATGGACAATTTTCTGATTTTAAAATGCAATTTTGTCTTGATTTAGTAGCGAAAACTGCTTAAGATATGAACTGAAGATTAATTGGAGATGATAGTTCATGACTTATAGCGTTGCAGAATCGCCTTTTCGTGCGACGTCAGTACTTCCGGTCGAAACCGGAAGCGAATTTAAAAAACGTATTTTTTCAACTTTTCTTTTTTAATATTTTTGTTTTAGAATTGAATAGAGACCCTTTTGCAGAATCCAAATATGTAATTTGTTTGAAAATCGAAAAAGCCAATCTCGAGATATTTGCATTTGAAAACGCGAAGCGGCGATCCCGATGGCCGAATGGTTAGCGCGTTGGATTGTCACGCGGGCGACCCGGGTTCGATCCCCCGTGTGTCCAAAAAATTTTATTACTTTTTCTGCTCGATTTTTCGATTTTTATTAATCTTAGACCATTTGCAACAACATATTTTCAACTTTTAAGTATATCTTACGTAATAAGGGGTCACAAGGGGCCAGAATGCTAAATCTTTGACGCTTCATATCTTGAAAAGAGGGAATATTTTGATAAGCAATATTGAACAAAAGATACAGAATAATATTCTAAACAATATGCATACTTTGAATTTTTGTAAAATGGCCCCATTAAGGACTTGTAGGGGTGGCCCCTTAATATTTCCATTCAGCATATCTTCCAAACGAAAAGAAATCTCTGAATAGGTGTTGAACAAAAAGTCTTTGAAATCACAAGACCTTTCATTTGATATCAAGAAAAAGGGGCTGACCCCTCAAATTAGGGGCTCAGAGGGGCCAAAAGTCTTTCATCTTTAACTCTTAAATGATCAATATTTTGTGATACATTATAGAAGCAAAGGTATTCATCTTAACGATTTGCAACAATATATGATACAATTAGGACCATATGTTACGTAATTAGGGGTCAAAAGGGGCCAGAATGTCAGATCTTTGACGCTTTATATCTCAAAAAGGGGGAATATTTTGATAAGCAATATTGAACAAAAGTTGGTCAGAATAATGTTCTCAACAATATGCATACTTTGAATTTTTGTAAAATGGCCCCATTAAGGACTTGTAGGGGTGGCCCCTAAATATTTATATGAATCATATCTCCATAATGAAAAGAAATCTCTGAATAGGTGTTGAACAAAAAGTCTTTGAAATCACAAGACCTTTCATTTGATATCAAGAAAAAGGGGCTGACCCCTCAAATTAGGGGCTCAGAGGGGCCAAAAGTCTTTCATCTTTAACTCTTAAATGATCAATATTTTGTGATACATAATAGAAGCAAAGGTATTCATCTTACCAATATCCAACAATATATGATAGAATTTGGATCATATGTTACGTAATTAGGGGTCACAAAGGGCCAGAATGCTAAATATTTGACGATTCATATCTTGAAAATGGGGAATATTTTGATAAGCAATATTGAACAAAAGATGGTCAGAATAATATTCTAAACAATATGCGTACTTTGAATTTTTGAAAAATGGCCCCATTAAGGACTTGTAGGGGTGGCCCCTAAATATCTATATGAAGCATATCTCCACAACGAAAAGAAATCTCTGAATAGGTGTTGAACAAAAAGTCTTTGAAATTACAAGACCTTTCATTTGATATCAAGAAAAAGGGGCTGACACCTTAAAATAGGGGCTTAAAGGGGCCAAAAGTCTTGCATCTGTACCTCTTTAATGATCAATATTTTGTGATACATTACAGAAGCAAAGATATACATCTTAACGACTTGCAACAATATAATATAAAATTTTGGCCATATCTTACGTAATAAGGGGTCGCAATGCGGCCAAAATGCTATTTTTTGTCATGCTTTACGTCTTGAAAGGAGGGGGTATTTTTATAAGCCATATTGAACAAAAGATGTTCAGAAAATCGTGATAAAAATGAGAAACTTTAAATTCATTGAAGGAAAACTTAATGTCATTCTCTTTTAACGAATATCTCAGTCAAAATCACATCTCATCTTATCGAGAAATTCAACGGAAGACCTACTCGTTGCTCGCACCGAGATCTCATCTAGTTATTATTATTATTCTTTTTTTTGACAAAATTTTGTGCAGGCGATTTCTCGAAAACTATTCAGCGGTTTTTCATGAAACTTTCACAAAATATGTGTCATTATATGAAGTTGTTACATCTGAAGAAAAATTTGGAAAATTCGCTTCTGGTGCCAAGTTATGGACAATTTCCTGATTTTAAAATGCGATTTTGTCGCGCACTTTTATCGAAAATGGCTAAGTATATGATATGGAGACTTATTGGAGATGATAGATCATGACTTTGTGGTTTGCAGAATCACCTTTTCGTGCGTCGTCAGTACTTCCGGTTTCTGCCGGAAGCATATTTAAAAAATGCAATTTTTCAATTTTTTTGTTTTTCAATATTTTTCTTTGTTGTGTTTATTCTAAATAGAGACTCATTTGCAAATGCATAATACGTAATTTTTTTTAGAATCGAGAAAGGCAATCTCGAGATATTCGCATTTGAAAATTTGAAGCGGTGTTTTCAATGGCCGAATGGTTAGCGCGTTGGATTTTCACGCGGGCGACCCGGGTTCGCTCCCCCGAATGTCTGACTTTTTTTTATCGCTTTTTCTGCTAGATTTTTTGTTTTTTATGTCAGAATCGGACGGAAGACCTCTCGTTGCTCGCAACGAGTTTCATATCTAGTGATTTTACTTTTTCTGATTTTTTCTTTGTTCTCCGGTACTTTTTTGTCCGCGAGTGTTCTCGTAAACTGCTCATCCGATCTAGGTGAAACCTTTTTAGGGTCACTAGGTATGTTATGTAGATGTGCGGAACGAAGGTCATTTTGCGCGCACGTGCGTGCGTGTGCGCACACGTGTTACACGTGAAAAAACCAATATAATAGATATAGCCGTAACTTTTTTAAATTTTGGATGAAATGCTTGGAAACTCATAATATAAGGATATATTAGTACTATAGACATGACGACATGGTCAAAATAGCAAGATCTCACGCGCATGCACGTGCGCTTCGCTTCGATTGGCTGAAACTAAAAGTCTAAATATCTTTTTTGTTTTCTGACAAAATCCTTTGAAATTCTGAACATAGCCATACATTATGAAGATTTACAGCATGATATATAAGAATGATCATGAACACACGCACATGCACGTGTGCTGCAATCTGATTGGCTAAAACTTTAAATGCCTACAACTTTCTTGGTTCTCAATACTACAGGGTGAAATTTCGAATATGAATAGATATAATGAATGCCTATATTATACTACTGTCAAAAGTAAATGCACCCGCACACAATGCATTAAACGACAGTATACTTGAGTTTGTGATGTTCATGCAGAATTAAGAACTTCTAAATGTCAAGACATGTAACATACTGAAGCATGCAGATCTTTTGACCCTTGACCTTGAAACTTAGGTCAAGGTCATTGGTAACCTGAATAAAATGTTAATATTAGCTATATACCAAAATCACCTTGACCTATGAACTTGAAATCGACCTTAACCTTTGTCCTTGACCACAGGGTAAAAAGAAACATGAAGTACATGTACATGTATCTAGAAACACTTTTCAGAATTTATTTCGGTTGGCAGGATAGAAGTTAAAGAGTTGGTGGTTTTTAATGACCTTGACCTTTCATCCAAATGTCACAATCAATCTTAAGTTCTTGGAGTAAGATACAAGATTCAACTCCAACGTTAAATAGGTTAAGAATAAAAATATCCGCCCCCCCTCCCCCCTCAACAACCAAACAAATCAAATAAATGGCAACGTAGAGAATCGCTGTTAAACTCAAATAACACCTCGGACCCACATAAAATTTCAGAAAAACTGCAGAAAAGAGCTCGAGGAAAGTGTATTAAAATATTTGATTTGAGTTTCCAAAGTATATAGAAATTATTAATCTATACGGAAAAAATTACAAATCCTGTCGTGTTTAAAATTAAAGTGCAGATGAACAAAGTTGGTATATAAGCCTTTTTATAGCCTATTTATTCAGATGTCGTTAATAGCATTCAATTCTACTGATTTGAAATAATATTTTAATACCAAGCATCCTTTGTTTATTTTACCTTTGAAATTTATTTGAATTTTTTTTAGAATTACGCAATCCCCAGAAATAGCGATTTTCGGTATATTAAAAATCAATATACAGGTACGCTCCTTCGTAAAATAATCAGATATTTGCATTCATGAAAAAAATATTAATAAGAAGGTGTTAAACAATATTGGTCACATTAGCTGACACGAATGTCTTTTTAAACATCTCTTGTAAACCACAGAAAGTAGCCCCCTATGCATTGGAAAAATGAATAGTTCCGGTCAAAAACCTCTATATATTTATTTACAAAGTATATAAAATTTACTAGGCACAGGTACCAGCGTTGTCAAAATGGCCTGAGAGGAAATATTAAAAAAATTCCAAACAGAAAGGAAAATCCCTTTTCCATGTATGGAACTTCTATTGAATAAGTTCATTTTGATTGGTTAGCTATCGGCGTGATACCCTTATGCCTAGGTCACATTTAAGCCGACGGTCGGGCGACTAAATTTTTCTGGTCTTGTCGGCTGAGAGAAAAGGATCGGCCGACACAGTATCGGGCGACACGGAGCAGTCACATTATTTCCTAGGGACACCGATGATTTGGATAAATAACACAAAAAATCTTTATTCTTTAGAAATCAGCAATATTTTTTCTTAGATCTATATTCAGATAGGTGACGTGAGTAATGTTTGCACGTCAAAGTGGCAGGATATCTTACAAAATTGTCACTCAATGTTGAAAATGTGTGCAAACTTTGTAGGGAACTGCATAAAAACGACAAATGCATGGTGCATATCTAAGCAGCAAAGAATACTAAAGATTTCTGTTATTTCCGTTCAAAAAATTTATATCAAACCATGCATCAAAAATTTGTTTGTGTTATGTATCCTTAATAGATTAAATATTCGCAAGTCAGCCAGTCGTCGCCCGATCATCGAGCTCTGAGCTACAGTTTGATTTTAACCGTCGGCCGAAATTTTCAACACCCTTATTGTCCAACAACGGAAGACCGACTTAATAAACTGACCGTCGATGGTCGGACGATGATCGAAGGTTGGTCAACGGATTACTGCAGTTGAAGAAATCGGCCACCGACGCATGAAAAATTATAACTTGGACCGATGGACACAAAATTGGTCGGCCGACAAAAAAATAGGTCAAAATCGGCCAAGACAACGGCCGATGAACTGACGACTGTCACTCGAAGAATCCCATTTTTGCTTCAAAACCCGTCGGCCGTTGGTCGTTTTTGGAAATGTGACTGGGGTTTTAGTCGACTTTAACCCTGCCTTGTCGTCGGAATAAAAACTACTTTGAGCCCGAGGTTAAAATAAGTAGAGAAATAAAATGTGAATCGATGTATTGAAAAATGACATATGCTTGAAAAATGGTAACTTTTTATATGTATTTTTTCTTTGATTCGCGGGATAGAAAGATATGTTAATCGCTTAACCAACAAGCCATAATCATCTTGCATATGCAAAACGTTAAACGATATATAGTTGATAGTTGATATCATTGTATTTTTATATTCCTAAATGAAATCCTTGGATACTTAGCATATTTATAAAAGGTCTAAGAGGAATAAGGCACGAAAAGGGACATGGGGAGCGTTTGGGGAACATCTGTAACGGTCCCCGTTACAATTAGCACTAGTATTAAATTGCGTTTGTTTTTCGGATTTTTTTTAAAAATTAGTTTTTGCCTGAAGAATAACACAATGTAGTTGCCCAAATAGATACAACTAAGTCCTACTCATTGAAGCAGTGAGCAGCTGTGAGAACCCATTGGTCAGCTATAAGTATTCCTCCGCACACGTGATGTCCATTTGATCTCATTGAAACCTTAAATGATATAAAGAACGTGTTATCTTTACGAAATTTAGTACACTCAAAAATATGTTCTGTCATCATATATACGAAATAGTGTACTTGAAAAATACGACTGCTAGCTATACTTGTAGTAAAGTTTCCACTCTTCAATATGTAAATGTATAATAAATAACAAACCTTAAAATGTAATTCAGACATCAGTATTTGAATGCAAACTTGTTAATAAAAAAATCAGTACATGTATTTAAGTCCATAACCCCACTCCATTTATTTAGTTTTCACAAATTTAAGGGATGAAATGTTTTATGATTATGTACCTGCCAAGGGAATTCGCCAGGTTTAGCCCTTGTGCCTCCCACTATTTTATATTGATGTGTCGTTATAGGTGTACTTAATCCACACTGACCTCAAGAAATATCACAAGACAATAATATCAAAACAGGACAGAATGATTTGGTTTGTACAAAGTCGTGTATTTCTTTTTATTGAATCAACAAAATCAAAGGACTTTCACAAGCAGTTAAATGCCTCTTTTGATTTAGTTTGTTTTCAATGTTTTCCTAAGTAAATAAATTAAATGCATTAAAAAAGAACAATTCATTGTTATTAAGTTTGAAATTTTCAGTAATTTATGTTTCGATCAACATAACTAATAACTTCTCTATTCATTACCACAAAGTCATAGGGTATTTTGAAGAAAAAAACAGGCTGTGAAGAATCACTTTATACACTACATGTACGAATATGGCAAAAAGAATAGATTATTGTAATATTCATGCATACCTGGGTGAATTGGCGGAGTTAATTGAAACTTTGGAGGAATGCAGCACATTTCTTGAAAGCCACACCCACTCCTGGTATAGGAGTAGCCGGACAGGCAGTTATTAAAGTAATAATTAACGCAGGTTCCTCCATAATTTGTGTGACACACTAAAAATTAAAGGCATTTTTAAATGCATTTAATTTATCATATAATAAACAATATCGCGAAAACGCCATCCATACTGTAGGTCAATACAATTAACACAAACCACAATTTGCATATATTTGGCAGAACTCGCCCATTCTCACTAGTACTATTTTAAGTGTAATAAAATTATACGTTTTGCGATAAATGGTTTGTCAAAAAATGCAAAAAAAAAAATATGTATAAATTCTATAATAAGTTCAAGAACTTCATTTCTTATTGATGGATATGAATATTAAAAAATTATTCCAAAGTATTAAGTATTTTAGAAGTATTATTTGTTTTGCTAAAGCGTGAAAAAATATGAAATTTTACATACAATCTTGTAATGCCACTCCTCCAATCAGTGAAAGGAAAATGCAAAATTTCAATGGATTCCCAGACATGGCTGCCGAGTGTGAAAAGCAGGACAATGATAAGAAACTGACGCATGCACAATAATATCAGAAACCTAATCACATCGGTCTGTGAAGTCCTTGTGGTGTGATTAAGTACAAAAATGATAACGTGGACATTTTTAGCTTATGGCTATACAGGAAGACTGAATTTTTTAAATGTTTTGAAATTTTTATTTCCAAGTGTTTTTTTAAGTCCTCGAAATTAAGATCATGATTTACATGTATATGGTGTTAGGAATCCACAGTACTTGAACTCAAAAGTCCATTAAACAACACAAATCAGGAACAGAGCAAACACGAGCCTCTAAAATATTAGAGGTGGGATCAGGTGCCAGGGAGGAATGAGCATCCCTGCTGACCGGTCACATCCGCCGCGTGCTGCTTGACATGATTGGGAAAACGAAGAAATCCGTCGACGATTCAGTGTGTAAATAATGGCCTAACAATTAGAATGAAAATGATAGATTACTGATATTCTTGTTTCAGCAATTTGTTTGTCAATACGTTCTATTTCCACTATTGAAGAGTTATAGTTCTAAGTGCGCTCTTTTGTGAAAAAAGTCGGAGAATGTACAAATCTCGCGGGATTTCTGGGACAAACGTAGCATAAACATGTTGACAAACAACATCTTGAACATGTTGAATGTCGATGAACAAATACTAACAAAATGCATATGAAATATTTTATTGTTGTGGACTTTATTTAAATTAAGGGTAGAGATGACAAGGAAATTAATTTACATCTTTTGGTGATCGTATGTATAGCATACTCTCGCGTATTGAATCAACTGAGAGATGTTAAACCCCATACACAGGTGATAAAGGTATATTGCTGGTATATTGCGGCATAAGTTATGGAAATTGACGGATTCATGTATCAGTGGCTGTCCATTATTGTAGATTTGGTTGCCCTTCGCAAACAATTCGATAATGAGGCAAGCTGTTGGCAAATGAGTTAAAAATACAATGTAAATCATATACTGTACCAATTTTGATGCATAAGATGCGCATTTTGATAAATTATGTCTCTTCGGTGTACTTATGCCGAAACGTTTGAAATCCGAAATATTTATTTAAAAAAAAACATTGAAGCCGAAAAAAGGGGATTTGTAAGACAGAAGCCAAATGAGTTGAGGGATCAGAGCATCAACATGCTGCAATTTTATGTTCGAGAAGGTACTATGACCTCGTTAGCAAATACAAACTATCTTTAATTCTATTACTAAGTGACGTTTAATACAAACCGTGGAACCATCGTTTTAACACTTATAGTCAACTGTTTACGGATTTTCCTACAGATGTGGTCAGACCACAGGGGATGCTTATATCCTTTTTTTTCATTATAACATCACTTTTCTGATGCTTTGGGATGTCCCTTGTTTGCTCTTCCCCCGATTGCCTTGCCTTCGATGGACTTAATAAGTTTTCTTCATTTTTTTTCTAAAACAAAAGGGCTATCGGTATATGTTGTATTTGAGTTTTTTCCCCTTTGTTCCTATGAACACGCAAGTCGAAGCAATGTTTTGGCTAAATAACCGAAATATTTATATGTATTTATTTTTAAAATAGATAATTTAAATGAAAAGTATACTAAATGAATAATGATAAATATTTTAACAAAAGTAACCACTTCGTATTTTTAAATGTGAGTCGAGTTCGTTATATCGTAACAAGTTTTTTTCCCTAAAGTTTAGCGTAAATAATATTATGACGTTAATTTTTAATAAAATTATAACTTTTCTTATGTTATGAGACTCTAACAAGTATAAAATAGAAGGGAGTTGGCATTAAATTGAAGATAAAATACCTTTAAAAGTGATTGAAAAATGCGTGATTGCGGGGAAACAGTATATGCGTTATAAATAGGAAATGGTATATGCGTTAAAATCCGTGACTGCGGGGAAGGGGGTTTAATATCACATGGATTTTCATTTGAAGAGGGAAGGGTGGTTGAGACCATTTTCTGACTATTTTGATCTCCTTTAGAAGAGCTTACACTGAGGCATATGCAATTTGTTTGGTTAAATACCATCTTCAAAATGAATAATAAGATTGCAATACATGTATGTCTTTTCAAGGCATCCACGATAGGTCCATATGTAAGATAGAAATGATTTTCCCAAAGACACAACAAACACATGTTAGGATGTTTTTCTTTATACCATTACATATAAAAAATCTGAGTTAATTGGAAAGAGATCAAGGATGCGCTGCTTTTTGTTGGTTAATCCAGGTTAGGAAGGAACTGACACGTGTGTACACCCCGGGGGCGTTCCTGTCCCCACAGCCGTACCCCCAGGACACGATTCCCGCCAATTTCCACAATCCGTCCTTCTTACAAACTAAAGGTCCGCCGCTGTCACCCTGAAGAAATTTGTTTTATGTAACCTTTTTGATTTAACATACTAGTATTAAAGAAAATTAATGGAAATATTCCTGAAGCAATGAATTATTTTCACTAAAAAATTGAAATAAACTTATGTGCACTGTACTGTCGTTTTCTTCTTTGTTTAAATAAGCTTTTCATTTAGAATGAATAATGTCATACGGTTTTCTATATGTTATCATTTTTTTTTTTTTTTTTTTTTACAAAATTTTGTAGTATTGTTAAGGTTAGAGTTAGAATTGCAAAATGATTAAATAAAAAAATTACAATGACTTTGGGACAGAAATATCATTGCAGTAAACTTCAATTCATTAATTAGATAACATAAAATCTAACACGATCTTCATTACAATGTGAAAAAAACTAAAAAGATCTCCAGTAACTCTTAGTTTAACATGCACTTAACTTTACAAAAAACAAAAGATATGAACCATGCAACAATATACTTTATGCCCCCCAAATGCTTTACCAGTTCCCTGTTGGTCCTGCAATTTCCATGTTAAATATTGTATGTGATACAAACCTGACAGGCATCTTTCCCGCCTGCCCTCAAACCTGCGCAGATGTTACTTGTGTGCACGTGATTTCTACCCAGGAAATACTGACACTGGGAGTTTGTCATCGTCGGTACATCAACCTTTCTTAAGTACTGAGCGCCCGGGGCATTGCCGTTGTTATCTGAATATAAAATTTAAACTGCTTTTAATAAAGGATATTTTACTTTACTTAAACTGGATCTTTTTTTTTCATACAAAAATTGAAAATAATAGCAAAGATGAAAAGAAAAAGAACCGTTTTAATTCGAGGAGCCAAATGTTTCAAGGCCAAGAAAAATAAGCATGGAATAATAAAAGTTTTGGCATTATTAACTTACATTAATCTCCCCGCTTTATTAGCCAAATAAAATCCAATCGCTTCATAAACAGTAATAAAATTTTCATTTAATTGTATACAGCAAGGATTTGGTAAGTTGCAATAATTTGTCAATGACGTTTACTTAAGTAATTGCAAGCAATGAAAAATAGAAATACTATTACCGTAAAAAGTATTTAGTCAATAGACATGTTCGTATTTAGATACCAAAGAAGGACGACATATTAATAGCATCGTGCAATGCGAGTTATTTATTTTATAAACTGGGTAAAAACCCTCCATTGGCAAGGGGAACCCTCTAAATATGAGTAAAACATTGTAAGGAACATTAAACAAACAATCAAACCTGCTACGTTTGGTTTCAAAATCAATATGTACCGAAATATGTGGCACCCCATCCAGTAACTGTACACGTCATTTGTTCGAATTGGTCGTAAGAATGTGGCAGACAGGCAGCTCGGATGTATTGACTGTTGATATCTACAGGTTTGTCCAGTTTCATCAGGGCAATATCGTTAAGGTTTGTACGAGAATTGTAGCCGGAGTGGACAATCAAGTTGCGGACATGATGGACCTGACTTGTATACACATGGTGGCGATCGTGCATCCCCACACCCACGGTCCAGTACCGAGCATTGTGGTAGCTACAGAGAGAATGAAAACTGCACTGCTAGATAATGGAGGACAACATTGTGTACATTGTTTAATTTTTCTTACTTGGTAAGTTTTTAATATTCATACTAAGTGTCAAGATTTCTAACATTTTAGATCACGTCTAGTCCAGTGCTTTCCAATTAAGAATGAAGCAATTTAGGCTGG